TAGCAGAGAGCGTGGGAATATCCTGCCACTCGTGAGAACTCGATATTGTTCGAAGGAATCCAAAACAGATTTAAGAAAAAAAGGATGTACATATATGACGGAGATGAAGATGATGACAACTGCAACAATAACAACAACAATGATAATGATAATGATAATGAAGATAATAATGATAATGAAGATAATAATGATAATGATGATGATAATGGTAATAACGCGAATAATAATGATGAAGATGAAAATAATAGTTGCAATAAAAAATCGTTGATAAATGCACATATCATATTTTGCAGGAAAAAAGAAAGGAAGATACAAAGTATCATAGAAAGCCTTTGAATAGCTTATCAAAAAGTGAATCATCTATCTATATATCTGACCCCTTTTGCGCACTTTTTTCCCCTAAATCCTTACTTGTTTTTATGTATCCCGTTTTTTATCCTTCTCATAATATCAAAACGCTATATTATGTCAAAATTGGTAGGTCTGGGAAAGGCTATGATATAAATAGACGAGGTACTTGTTGATGCCCTATTTTGGCGACATATATTTTATCTTCGCGCCCCCTTTCCAAGCGTTCGGACGAGTGAACGAAGTCGGTGTCGTATAACCCCTTTTCTTCTGATTGGTTATTCTAATCACACACACTAAAACATATCATCTAGACCATAACTCAACATCACACACATACATACACTTCCTCAAAGAAAAAAAAAATAAAACAAGACCTTCAAAAACAAAAGATCACCATACATTAACCAAACACCACCGAGGCCAAAGCCAAAATAAAGGACTCGAACGCATGTCCCACGGGGGGTAGGCGACTACCTGGATTTCTAAGAGCTGAGAAATCATACATTTACCGACACAAAAGCCAAGTTTGGAGTGCGGGGGGAGTAGGAGGGGGGGAATGGAGAGAGGGAGTAGGGGAGAGAGTGAGAGAGTAAGGGAGTAGAGAGAGGGAGGGGGGGGGAGTGGGGGGGAAGGGGAGGCGATTGCGTGACTGAGGTTTCTAAAGGAATCTTGGGGCTTTCACTCACCGGCTTAACAAATTGTTCGTGTTTTTTTTTTTTTTTTTTTTTTTTTTCGTTCATATGACATCGTGCGTTTGTTGATTCGGTGTCTATTGTATAGCGTTGGTATATTTGGTTTTTAGTTCATCTGTTTATTTGTTTACTCTAGCGGCGAATTCAAAGGATTTTTTTTTCTTGCTTTCAATATTTTTGTTTGCTGAACTGAAATTAATTATTATGCATTTACCACATACTTCTTTTTCTAAGAAGAAGAAGAAGATAAAAAATAAGAAGAAGAAAAGAAAAAGAGGAAGAAAAGAAGAAGAAAAAGTAGAAGAGGAAGAAAAGAAGAAGAAGAAGAAGAAGAAACGAAGAAGAAAAAGAAGAAGAAGAAAAAGAAGAAGAAGAAGAAAAGGAAGAACAAGAAGAAAACGAAAAGAAAAAGAAGAACAAGAACAAGAAGAACAAGAAGAACAAGAAGAAGAGGAAAAGGCAGAAGAAGAAAAGAAGAAAAGAAGAAAAGAAGAAAAGAAGATGAAAAGAAGAAAAGAAGAAAAGAAGAAAAGAAGAAGAAGAAGAAGAAGAAGAAGAAGAAGAAGAAAAGAAGAAAAGAAGAAAAGAAGAAAAGAAGAAAAGAAGAAGAAGAAGAAGAAGAAGAAAAAGGAAGAACAAGAAGAACAAGAAGAACAAGAAGAAAAACAAGAACAAGAAGAACAAGAAGAACAAGAAGAACAAGAAGAACAAGAAGAACAAGAAGAACAAGAAGAACAAGAAGAACAAGAAGAACAAGAAGAACAAGAAGAACAAGAAGAACAAGAAGAACAAGAAGAACAAGAAGAACAAGAAGAACAAGAAGAACAAGAAGAAAACGAAAAGAAAAAGAAGAACAAGAAGAAAACGAAAAAGAAAAGAAGAAAAGAAGAAAAGAAGAAAAGAAGAAAAGAAGAAGAAAAGAAAAAGAGGAAGAAAAGAAGAAGAAGAAGAAGAAAAGAAAAAGAGGAAGAAAAGAAGAAGAAAAGAAGAAAAGAAGAAAAGAAAGAAAAGAAGAAGAAGAAGGCGAATAAGAAGAAGAGAAGAAAAGAAGAAGAAGACGAAGAAGAAGAAAAGAAGAAAAGAAGAAAAGAAGAAAAGAAGAAAAGAAGAAAAGAAGAAAAGAAGAAAAGAAGAAAAGAAGAAAAGAAGAAAAGAAGAAAAGAAGAAAAGAAGAAAAGAAGAAGAAGAAGAAGAAGAAGAAGAAGAAGAAGAAGAAGAAGAAGAAGAAGAAGAAGAAGAAGAAGAAGAAGAAGAAGAAGAAGAAGAAGAAGAAGAAGAAGAAGAAGAAGAAGAAGAAGAAGAAGAAGAAGAAGAAGAAGAAAAGGAAGAACAAGAAGAAAACGTTTATGATTATGCAAACATACATAGATGCATGCGCAGTTTCTCATACACACACACACACACACACACACACACACACACACACACACACACACACACACACACACACACACACA